AAAGAATTATCCAATTTCATCTCACCTCTCCTTGACTAATGGAATGAGGAAGATGTCTGTTTGCCTCAGCCTATAATTTGATCATTCATCCATCTTTTTTGTGTGTGTTTCTTACCAGGTCAATAGAAATATTTCAAGCTCCCAACTTGAAACTGCTCTGCACTATCCAGCAGCATCACAAGCTTGTGAATGCCATTAGCTGGCATCATGAGCATGGCAGCCAGCCAGAGCTGAGCTATCTGATGGCCTCTGGCTCTAACAATGCAGTCATTTATGTGCACAACCTGAAGACTGTTATAGGTAACTTTGGTTTCTTCCATACTAGGGATGATATCTTGTATTCACCTGCTTTTTATTCTAACCATTTTCTTTATTTTTGGCATTAAAATAAATATTGTGTTTTTTATTCTCAGTTCTCAAAAGTAGTATATTCAGGTGGTGCCTATGGCTCAGTGAGTAGGGCGCTGTCCCCATATACCGAGGGTGGAGGGTTCAGACCCAGCCCCTACCAAACTACAAGAAAAAATAGCCGGGCATTCTGGTGGGCACCTGTAGTCCCAGCTACTCGGGAAGCTGAGGCAAGAGACTCGCCTAAGCCCAAGAGCTGGAGGTCGCTGTGAGCTGTGACACCACGGCCCTCTACCAAGGGCAACAAAGTAAGATTTTGTCTCTAAAGAAAAAAGTAGTATATTCATCTTATTTTAAAATCTTTTGAGTGGTGCCCATAGCTCACTAGGTAGGGTGCCAACCACATAACACCAGGCTGGTGGGTTTGAACCTGGCCCAAGCCAGCTAAAAACAATAATGACAACTGCAGCAAAAAAAATAGCCAGGCATTATGGCAGGCATCTGTGGTCCTAGCTGCTTGAGAGGTTGAGGCAAGAGAATCACTTGAGTCCAGGAGTTTGAGGTTGCTGTGAGCTCTGACACCCTGGCATGCTACTGAGGGTGATAGCTTGAGACTCTGTCTCAAAAAAAGAAAAAAAAATCCTTTCAAGTGGCACCTGTGGCTCAGTGGGTAGGGCACCAGCCCCATGTACCGAGGGTAGTGGGTTCAAACCCAGCCTGGGCCAAACTGCAACAAAAAAAAGTAGCCCAGCGTTGTGGCAGACAACAAAGTGAGATTCTGTATTT